CTAACCAGCTATGGTGATGTATGTTTATCCTAGACTCTTGGGTGACCCACCAAATTACATTAATGTTATTCCCGTACAACCCTAAAGAGTTGAATGTGATTCAGAGTTTTGAGTACAGAGACCTCAGCCTGCTTAGTCCTGTGGCAACAACCACACTGCAACATTTTATAACCTTTTATTAAGATAAGAAGGAAAAGTGATTGAAACATTTAAAGTAAAGTATTAAGTACGGCTTTCATTTTAACAATATTGCTTATATCCCCTCAGCTGTAGACAGCGCTTTTTATAAGGAAACCCCCCTGTTTGAGTCTTTTAGATGGTAATAACTGTCCTTTTTGGGGAAAAGAGACATACACAGTCAGTTAGGATGGGCTAGAGCTGCTGTTGTTAAAGTCCAATGTTTCTTTAAAGACAAACACGGAAAGAAAAGAACAGCAAAAATAGAAAATACATCTTCTATCTCTGGTGCTTTCACTTGCAGCCTCACTGCTACAGAAACATGGGCACAGCCCATGGTTTTATCAGCCAATCTGAGACATGTCAAATTTGTATTAGCATTGGGCTGTTTAAGACATTGCTTTTAGCTGCCACTCTGATCAGAGTGACAAGAGATCTAGTCTTTGCTGGCTAAGCTAGACATTTATTAATCAGAAGGCAGAGAGAGAGAGAAGAAAAGGAAACTATAAGGTGGGGAAGGAAAATGACACAACGGAGGGGTGACAGCAGAAATCCAAGGCTCACATTCCAGGTGCTGTTCAGGCCTTAGCTGAAGCTAACGAAGTGTGTGTGTGGGGGTGTCATCTGGGTCCCTCTTTCTGGCTCCATCTGGTCAGGACATTTCTTGGTATCAGGATGATGAAGGCCCACTTGTGTCCCAGTGGATCCCAGAATAAGATGGGGGTGGCAGTCATGATGGCAAAGCTTGCTCCTACCAATCCACTTGTCTGCTTCCCCTCCAAAAGGTGTGGCAGGTGGAACAGCCTATTGCCTCATTATTTTGTCCACCTATTAGACCTAATACAGTAAACATGCGCCAGGGTCTCCCTCACGCCGCAGAAGGGACAGGTACCCCCATGGGTTGTAACCAGGTTTTTAGCCTTACCACACAGCATGGCAAAAGGAACTGGCTTGGCAGTCAATTGATACTGCTTTGAACTGCGTGTACCAATCTCTTGCACATCTCCTTTATTCCAGGGAAAACAAGAGGGATCAAAGGCTATTTTAGAAAGCGCCATGTTTATGTCATGGGTTGCACCACGCTGCTGTTCAGCACTGTCTATGTTTGGTAAGTGGATTGTTTTGCGAAGCAAGAGTCTCCGTCGCTCCCCTCCTAAGGTGGCTATTGTTACAAAAGACTTTAGCCAAATACGTACGAATCTTTAGAAATGCACATCTGTGGTACAAATCCAGGTTCTTACAGGTACAACAGGTTCCCCCAGCTTTGTGTTAGTCTCATAGCAAAGTAGGGAAATGTGGTCTAGAGCAGCGTTTTTCAAAGTGCGGACTGCGACCTGGTACTGGGCCATGGCATGTCAGGCACTGGGTCGCTCTGGTCAGCACCGCCGACCGGGACATCAAAAGTCCCATTGGCGGTGCTGCCCAGCTACCTGTTCCGACACCGCACTGCGCCCCAGAAGCGACCAGCAGTGGGTCCGGCTTCTAGGCAGGGGGGCCATGTGGCTCCACGCGCTGCCCCCACCCCAAGCACCGGCTCTGCACTCCCATTGGCTGGGAACCAGCCAATGGGACAGGGGAGGGGGAAGCGGTGGCCGCGGGCGAGAGCCATGTGGAACCATGTGCGCGCCTCCGCCTAGGAGCTGGACCTGCTGCTGGCCGCTTCAGGCATAGCACGGTCCACGGTGCCAGGACGGGCGGGAAGCTTGCCTGTGCACCCCAGCTGCGCAACTGACCGGGAGCCCCTGGAGGTAAATTAGCACCCCAACCCCATGACCCCAATCCCCTGCCCCAGCCCTGAGCCCTCCCCAAACCTGGATCCCCATTCTGCACCCTTGAGCCTCCTGCAACCCGGAGCCTCTCCTGCACCCCAAACACTTAATCCCTGGCCCCACCCCAACCCCTCTGCCCCAGCCCAGAGCCCCTCCCACACACCGAACCCCTCATCCCCAGCTCCACTGGGTCGTGGGCATCAACAAATTTCTTCAACTGGGTCCCCAGGAAAAAAAGTTTGAAAACCACTGCTCTAGATTAAACTCTTATAAGGCGGATGCAAATCTGATTAAAAGACTATTCTCAAAGCGTAGATCTCAATGGTTCTCTGTCAAACTGGGAGGGCGTATCTAGTGTGATCCCTCAGCCGTCTCTCCTGGGTCCAGTACTAGTCAGTATTTTTATTAATGACTTGGATAATGAAGTAGAGAGTATGTGTAATGTTGACAGACCCAGGTCGTCAGCGGGCGGGATTGAACCTGGGACCTTAGTGCATGAGCCTCTACAGCCTGACCTAAAAGCCAACTGCCTATTAGCTCAGGCTGTAGAGCAAACTCATTAATCTCTCTCTTTCTCTAAGTGGTCTCAGTGCCACTAGATGGGACAGAACACCACACCCAGGAGGTGTGTGGGTTACATATGCTTATAAAATTAACAGATGACACCAAGCTGGGAGGGGTTACTAGCACTCTGGAGGACAGGATTAGAATTCAAAACAGCCTTGACATATTGGAGAAGTGGTCTGAAAGCAACAAAATGAAGACAAGGGCAAAGTACCATACTTAGCAAGGAATAATACAGTTGTACATGTACACCAGGGGCACTATGCAACCTTCTGGCACTCTATGCACGAACAATGATGTTCTTTTGTTCCACTGGCAAGCACAGCCATCAGTAGTATAAACCCAGAACTATATGTTTTGGCACCACCCAAAGGCAAAAGAAGGTATTAACATTGCAAGCCAAGAGTAGGATTTCAGTCAGGGACCTCACCAGTTACAACTGGGCAGCTCTAAAAGTGAAAGTTGATCAGTTTGGGTCCCAACCCAAAGCGAAATCCACAGCAAACAGAAAAAATGGCTCCCTTCCTTTGCACTGGGAAAGCCACCCTGTGATGATTACACCTCTCGCAGCAATTGTCATTAGTATTCCGAGTGCTCCTCATGGATGCTGTAACGGACCACAGAGCACACAAGATCTGCTATGCAGCACGCCTGCTTGGCGCACAAGCTGTACTTACGATGTTGGCAGCTCTGACGTGCATCTCGTAGTTGTCCTGCTCACTCTGGGTCGCTCGAGAGACTTGGGTTTCATCTTCAATCTAAAAATTAATTTAAAAAAGCCACGTGTCTTCAGCTCACCCAATATTCCTGCATCCCAGAAGAGGTTATTACTTTAAAGAATAGCTTGTTTCAGTTCAAACCACATATAAAAGGGGCTTTTGTCCCTGATCCCATCTAGTAGATGCTTTTGGTAGGATCAGGGTTAAGAGTGCACCATTTGTTGATCTCCCATCTTTTCCCTCATGTTAACCAATTGCTGTTCACCTCTCTGTTTTCCTTCGACTGTCTTCTTTGATTCTTCCCACCCCTGATTTTCCAGCACTCCCAGCTTGTTTGATTGGACTGTTTTTTGAAAACTGAGTAGCATAATTTGCAGCTGTTCACTAGTAACCTGCTAAAAATAACTGTTGAAAACTCAGGAGGCCAAATTTGGCATCAACCTACTCTTACCCCCTGTAAAGCTATTAAAGCCTCATTGAAGAATAAGACCAAGCTTGGCGTAGATGCAGAATAGATGCATAACTGCAGAATTTGACTCCAGGAAGTGAAAGCTTCAACTGCTGAATCTCTCTGAGCCACCTAAATCTCACTGTTCAATTTTCAAATGCAGCCTTTTCCTGTGAGCTGGATTGGTATTTCTAGCCTGGAGGGTGTAATGATCATTCTGAGCAAAATTATTACCAAATGGGTATTGACTTCATTCGCCTTCTTTCAAATACCCACCTTAGCAGTCTTGATGATCTCTGTGAAGTTATCCATGATTGACTTGATGTCATCTTTCAGCCTCTTGTTGTAGGACTGTAGGAGGGTTTCTTTACTCTGAGGCAGGACTCGTTGTTGGGACATTGTGTTAAATTAGATTGGAACTGAAAGGCAGGAAAAGATAAAGCCTATTACAAGCCCCAGCCCAGGGGCTGCACACATATTAAATCCTAATAATTCCAATCACAACATTACACCAGCCTATCTAAATGCTGCCTCTGAAACTCCTAATCTTACTAGGAGTCCAAACCACACCAAGCCAATCTCTTCTCCCAACTCTAACCAGTAAGGGCTGTAATTCTGCTTCCACTGACCAACAAGAGCAGGATTGGGCCATTATACAGACAGTCTTAAATCTACACAACAGTTTAAACAACAACAACAACAAAAATCAGCTGAGACGTTATGGGGGTCCACAACAGATATTTCCAGGCAGCATCCCTGGGGACAGGAAACAAGATCCCCTCGCTAAGGCCTCTAGTACTTAGTAGCCTGCCTGATTGCTGGAGTGAGTGTTGACACTACAGCACTGGAAGCACGACTGTGAATTAATTTACAGCACTGGAGGCACGACTGTGAATTAACTTACAGCCCTCTAGCAGGGTACATCCACCTGCAACCTGCCATGAAACAGCCACTGAGGGCAGTGCATGCTGCGGGTTCTGCTTTACTCACCTAGCTAGCTACACAGGCATTACCACTACCCAGCCACCTCCTGGGGGTCACCAGCACAGAGCACTGCTGCTCTCAGCCATGACGCCCGGCTTCGCTGCAACCAACCACCTCTCATGATCATCCCACCCGCCTCCCCGGGAGTGGTCGCCTCTTCGCTGGTGATTGGCTGCCGCGGACGCCAATCCTTTGCTCTGGGTTGGGACCTGTTTCAAGTGGAGTTGAGTGAGCAGGTTTTTTAAAGCAGCAGGGGGGGGTGGGGGTGTGTGTGTCCCTGACATGCTGCTTGCTCAGACAAGACTGTCTGCAGCCCCTGCTCTTTAAAAAGGCACCAATCAACTGCTTTAGGGACAAGTATCAGAGGGGTAGCCGTGTTAGTCTGAATCTGTAACAAGCAGCAGAGGGTCCTGTGGCACCTTTAAGACTAACAGAAGTACTGGGAGCATAAGTTTTGGTGGGTAAGAACCTCACTTCTTCAGGTTTCAGAGTAGCAGCCGTGTTAGTCTGTATTAGGGTTACCA